TTATACTTTGGTGCTGTGGGGACCGGGGCTGGGTGCATGATTTCATCAGCGGGAAGCAGGTTAGATGATGACAGATCTTGGTGATGGAAATCGTTGCTTTAAACCGGGCTATTTGACATCAAAGTCATATCATATACCAGCTTAGAGGCTACCTGCTCTGGAGACTCCCCAAACACTCCTCACCTTCTGGGATGTGAGAGGCTTGTCCCCCTGAACCACCCCTGTCCCTAGCCCACAGCTGTGACATCTCCCATTCAGGAACCTGGCCAGACCCTTGGACTCTTCCGCCTGGTGTTGTACACATGGGACTGGGTGGTGTGCAAGCTTCTGGCCCAGCATAGCTACATTTAGAAACGGAAGTCTGTGGATAATGTTTCAACGAAGTCTTGTGACTGTAGTTTGGAGGTCCTTTTTCTGTTGTTAGAGAGAGCAGCTGAGCGCATGGGAGAAGAAAAATTTCAAAAGCAACTCTTGACTGGGTCTCAATCTTTGTTCAAAAAATAGTACAAAAATAAACCATCTTAGAAACCATCTTGAGGTAGGGCTTGATCATCGAACTAGTGACACACTTCTGGCTCCATCTCATACCAGGGCAAATACAAAGAAGATTTAAATAAAATACGTGTGACGAAATCTCACCAGCAGCTTGACACGTCATTAGATAATGACACTTTCTTACAGCTTCTCTACTTCTTAAGTTTTAGCTTGAATGATCTTCCCCACCCTACCCCACACCCCTCCCTACCCCACCCCACTCAGCTCTGGCCAGTGTTTTCTCTCTTGGGTCACCTGGAGGGCGTCACCCTGTAGTGAATTCATCAGAAACAAAAGGCCATGGAATCCATGACAACTCAAGCATTTTCCTAAACTCTCCACGGCCAGGTATTGTCCTTACCAATCTCCCATGTGGTCAAAACAAATTTATATTGTGGAACAGTCCCAAACATCACCTCTGTGTTCTCTGACTCATTTATTCCAGTGTATCCAACCCAGACAGGAAGAGAGCCAGCCATCCCCTCCTACAAGGAAGTGGGCTGTCTCATGCTCAGGGAGAAGTCAGGCGGGCAGGAAGGAGCAATTGCTTTTATTTTTCCAGTTATATTACCAGGTTATGTATTTGAGATATGATTTCTCAGAAGGGAAGTAACTCAGGCAGAATCCATGCTTTTAACAATGGGTCCTTGGTCTAGAAGGATCTGCGTGGGGTTTAAGGCCCTCCTGTGGCTCTCTGATGAGAAGGCAGGCAGGCATGTCACAGAGGAAAAGGCAGGTAAGAACAACGTGCTGTGGGTCATGGGAGGAGACTCCACTTCTTATGCTACATACGCAGAGGCATGACTAGGCCCCCCGCACGACTAGAACGGCCTCATTCATAGCAAGCCTAGCTATAAAAATGCAGAAGGGCTGAGAGTCATCCGACACACATTGCCAGCTTTTCTCTCCCCAGCAGTTCAAACTCACAAGGCCATTTGCACAGCATTTTGGAAAGCCACCCATCCCCTGAATGAAAAAGGTTGAAGAAAGTTAGTGCATAATCTAAGGGAAGGGCCTCAAAGCAGAAAAAAAAAAAAAAAAATGTGATGGAAGCAGGTTGAGCTTTGTGGCTGCTCCTCTGTGCTATTCCATGGGACACCGTGCAACGCCGGCCTAGAAGCCTGGGTGCACTGGCGAGAGGGCGCGAGCAGGCGGGAGGGTCCACGCAGTCAGGGCCCGAAGCTGAGCCTTCGGGGAAGAGAAATGAGGTCAGATCTCCACACCCCGGTGCTCCTGTGTACCCTCAGAAGTCATAGGGGGATACAAAAATGGTGACCTTGGACACGTGGTTGGCCTGGAAGGAGCGGTCCAGGTATTCCGACATGTCGACGTCCACCTCCAGCGTCTGAGGCCCCGCCAGGGTCTGCACGAGGATGAGCTCCCCAGTCTGCCGGTCTGAGCGCTGCATCACAAAGTGGCCGCGGCTGTTGCCACCCACGATCCCAAAGCGCAGGCTGTTGGGCCCAGCTCGGCCCGGGGCAGAGGCGGTGGCCATGCGGAAGAGCGTGATGGGCGTCTTCAGGTTGGAAGGCAGAGAGAGGTAATGGAAGGAGATGGTCTTGGGCAGATGGCGGCAGGGCCTGCTGTCCATAGGGCAGGGGTTGCGCTCACACTGGCTGGAGCAGAGAGGCAAAATGGGGGCCAGTCAGCCTTGGGGAGTCTCATGAGGGGCTGCTCTGACCCGGCTGCCCACCTGCCCTCTTGCAGAGGTCACCTAGATGACCTTTCCCAGCGACGCGTCCTTTACCCAGGAGCTATGGAGCTGCAGGCGAGTGAACGTAGCTGGTGTCAGGCATGGCAAAGGAAGCGCTGCTGCTTCTGTTCCTGCTCATTGGTGCTCCCTGCCTACCTGTGTACGTGTGTATGTGTGTGCATATGTATCTATTTATGCTATTACTACCATTTTTACAGAAAATTAAAGCCTGGGAATATTAAATAACGATGGCAATGCTGATATTCAAACCAGGTGCCCTTTCTCCATGGGCTGCAACCTCCCTCAGTAATAGTAGGACCTCAGCAGTTAGTCAGCAACATCGTGTAATGCGGTGCTTCCCACACGGTATATGGTGAACTTCCTAAACACAGCAGCATGTATTTTATTTATTTATTTATTTTAGACAGAGTCTCACTCTGTCACCCAGGCTGGAGGGCGGTGGCATGATCTCGGCTCTCTGCAACCTCTGTCTCCCAGGTTCAAGTGATTCTCCTGCCTCAGCTTCCTGGGTAGCTGGGATTACAGATGCCTGCCACCACGCCCAGCTAATTTTTGTATTTTTAGTAGAGACGGGGTTTCACCATGCTGGCCAGGCTGGTCTCGATCTCCTGACCTCAAGTGATCTACCCGCCTCGGCCTCCCAAAGTGCTGGAATTACAGGCATAAGCCACCGTGCCTGGCCATCATGTGTATTCTTAAAGCAGGAAGCCCTGTTTTCCTTAATCATCTGGAAACAGGCTCTTGTGGAAATGCTTTTGATATTTCTCTATCTTGTTAAACATAAAAGACAAACGCAATCCAGCGTATTTGGTGATTCTGTAGCATCATGATTATGCAGGTCAAATATCACATCCAGCTGTTGGTCGAATGCCCCAGAGGCCGTAACAGACAGGTTCCCCATCCCTTCACCAAGTGACTGCATGAGGAAGGTTCTGATGTCTTCTCTCTCTCTCTACAAACTGCCCTGCTTCAGTGCCACTAACTTTCTTGCTGCTTCTAATCTGCTTTAACTCAACAGCAATTCAAATAATTAAGTTACCTTCCATGGCTGTTACTTCATTTTAAAGACAATGCTAGGGCTCTTGTGATCTCTTTTTGAGAGGAAAATGTATGTGCTTTGTGATAGTTGTAGTTATTCCCCTTAAAGGTCCATCTCTCAACTTAAAAAAAAAAAAAAAGCTCTACTTGCTGTTTAAGAGTTGCAGTTACTAGATGTAGAATCGTCCAGTACTATTGGAAAAGCAGAGCGGTATAATGCAGGCTGCATGGGATATGCAGGGTAACTCAAGGGAGTCTACAGTTCCCGGCTATGTGAATGCTGTCATCTCCCAAATCCATGTGATCTATACCTGTCTCCTGGGCTGCTATGGGTTTATCAGGGTAATGTCACCAACAGCTTCTTCCCTCCAGTGGCCTGCCCTGGCTTTGCCATTCTGGGGTGGCAGCAACCCCATCATCCTCTATGCAGTAGGAGAGCACTTAGTACATTAGTCCCATAGGGAATGGGGTTCTTATATCTCCAGAGCAGCAACGCATTAAATGCAACCACTGAGGGGAAATGGCAATTCAGAGAAGCCAGCCTCCCAGCCTCCGGCCTCTCATCTTTCTATGGCGTAACTGTACCTTCTCCCAAGAACCTCTAGGAGGCATCCAGCCCAGCCACACTTGGAGGCCTGGGTGAGGGTGTGCGCGCCCTGGAGATACTCACAATGGAGACGTCTTCACGTAGCTCACATTGCCGCTGCCCTCGGGGCACTCAGGGCTGACACACTGGAAGCTTCCACCGGTGTTGATGCACGTGGTCCCCTGGGGGCACACCGGCTGCAGGCCCACACATTCATCTACATCTGAGATATGGGACATACAAGGGGTGAGCGTCTCCCTGACCTTCCCTGCATTGCAGACAGAACCACCTGAGATGCCCTGCAGGCCCCTGTAACGTGGTGCTCCCTGCTCCGGGCACTTATTCTTAAAGCACAAAGCTTGCCTTCCTGGACTGTGTGGAATCAAGGCCCTGAGGAAATGCCAGGGAGCGCCCCTCCCGGGGATCCTGTCCTCCTTCCCTGGGGCATGACAGGTGGCAGGGGTGGTGGAAAGCACCAGGTGAGTGTTACTGGTCACAACACTTCTCTCAGACCTGCCTGCTTCTCAGCCCAAATGCCCCATTACCCTCCATGGCTGCTATTTTTCATCTATATATAGACATATATATTTTTTTAATTTTTTTTTACAGTATAATCTTCCAAAAAGTCTCCCTCCCCATGCCGAATGCGGACACCTCCATATCATGATTTGTACGCGTTCTCTGCTCCCTTTGCAGACATCGAGAGAGTCTCCCCGCTGGAGGCCATCCTTCCCAACCCCGAGCAACCCTAGGTGGGCCTTCGTGAGCACTGTGGGACGGAGGGAGGTAGTGTGGGTGGCTATCTGGATGCCTTCTCCCGCTCCAGCCCCAGGTCACCCGCTCCTCAGAGCCCTGCAGCAGCGCCCCAAGGGGTTGTCACCGGGGAGCCACCCCTCCCCTCACATTCCCACGTCAGCCCATGGAGGAGCCTTCTGCCCTCTCTTCTCCCATTCTCCCTTGGTGGGTCACAGCTGCTGCCTGGAGCCAGTGGGGCTCCCCTCTGTGTCCTGTTTCCACGGAGGGAATCCAGCTGAGGAGGTGGGCCTGTTCACCCTCCTAGTGTGAGGTGTGCCTGCAGGAGCAGAGCCAGTCCTCCCCCCGAAAGGCCCACTGCAGCACGGTGGTTTGAGGGTCAAGGGTCAGGATGATGCCGCTTGGGCTTCAGGCCTGAGATGTGTGCTCCGACTCAGCTCATGTGGAGATTCAGCATGTTTACATCAATTGGCATCTGTATGTTCCCTAAGTGAAGGTGGGGAAACACAGGAGGCTTCCTGTTAGGCACCCAGGGTCCCTGGGACTTGTCCTGTAGTGACGATGGTGACTGATGCCAGGGTTCTCAGCCTCTCTGTTCTACAACCAACCCACTCTGCACACATCCTTCTTGCCCTCTTAGGTGCCTCCCACCCCTGCTGCAGACGTTCCTTGTCAACTTCAGATGATGTTCTTTCCCACTCTGCCAGGAATCAGCCTCAGAAACCTCAACCCGGTCCTCCAGGAAGCCACTGCTGATGGACAGGGTTCAGCACTGGGGTGAAACCGGAGCCAGTTATTTTCCATCTGCACCCCTGCCCCCCAACCCACTCTCTGCACCTGAGAGGCGGACTGCTTTTCAGCTGGGGTTGGCAAATGATAGTGACCCAGCCTGAGGAGTCCTGACCTGCCTGGATGTGGTTCTGATGGTGGCTGTGTCCTTGATGGCCACAGTCTATCAGGCTCTGGTAAGCCCCCTCACTTCCTGTACCCCTCAAGACAGGGGTAGTGATGCCCCCGACTCTTGTCCCTCCCTGGGTGCTCCGTCTCCCTTGTCCTCAGCTACCATCAAACGAGGCTGGTGCTGTAGACGTAAGTGCCTGTAAGGTGCTGCCTCTTTCAGAGGTGGACTTACAGGTGGCCACACAGGGTCATGGAGTCTCATGGGTTCCTCCAGATTACATGACATAGGTGACCACCTGGCCACTCTGTCTTTAGGTCCAGCCCTAGCTGAAGGTATTGTTGAGTGGGTGGAAGTGACCAGACCTTGAAAAAAAAAAAAAAAAAAAACCCAGTTACTGGAATAAAGTTGGAAAAGACTACTTGCCAGGATGGTTAAGGAATTCATTTTCCTATTTATGTCGATGATGATGTGGCCTGACCTTTGAGAAGCCCTTTGGTTGGTGGCTTTTTAAAAATCGAATGTATCTGAAACTGTGACTCTCCTAACCACCTCACTCCCGATTGTGAGGTCCTGAGGGTTCACCACAGCAGCAGGTGGCTGGGTGCAGGCGGCACTCTGTAGCCTCACTCACCCTCACAGCTCTTCCCGTCAGTCAGGGTTAGGTATCCGCTGGGGCAGGTGCAACGGTAAGAACCCGGGGTGTTCACGCAGTTGTGCATGCAGAGCCGGGGACGCCCCTCCTGCCCGTAGAGCTCACACTCGTTCACATCTGCGGACAGAAGTGCTCACTGTGACTCCACGAGCCATGCAGCAGGTGTTGCCTGCTGTGACCCAGAACAGTCATGCCTCAATTCCTGGAAGCAATGGCAGCTGCAGTTAAGTGGCTTGCCTCCGGCAGCCGCCATGCCCTACCCCCAGCAGAGCACTCGCAAAAGGAGCAGGTGTACTTCCCTTTCTCCTAAGCCGAGGGCCCAGAGGGCTAAAGGAGGAGTGAGAGGGAGTTGACGTGCTAGGCCCTAGAAGCGCATCTCTGTCTTAGGCTGAAGACACCTGGGGAGACTCTGCAGAGGCTGGCAAATCAAGCCTATTCCCAGAAAGCAGGGATGGGTTAACAGCCCCGTGTTAACTCTCTTTATCTTTGGGAATGGAGTAGAGGGCTTCCTTTCTGCCGCTGTAAAATGAGGCTATTAGCACCAACTGACCAGATCTCAGATTTGAACTCCTGCTTTGCGTTGTTTGGGGAGAGAACTCTGGTAATCAGGAGAGCCCAGCAAAACTGAGCCGTCAGGAAAGCTAAGCCCAGAGAGGACCAAGGAATGAGTCCCACACCCCTACCCAGCTCCGGGCCCTCTCTACCAACACAACGACTTAAGCTCCTCCTTGCCACCCGTAGATGTGATTCCAGCCAGGGCGGAGGGGATGGAGGGTCTCAAGCCTCTCCCGAACCAAGCGCGTGTGGCTTGGGCATAGGCTGGACCAGGTTCTGAGGTGGGGCGAGCTCTGATTTCTATGAATTAGCAGCTTTCTAACAATCGTTAGGTCAGTACTTACCTATAATGCAAAGTGGCCAGGCCTTCTGAGACCGCGCCCAGGAAGCCACCCGTGCCGGCAGGAGGACGGTGGGGGAGAGCCCCTTCCCCACCCCATGTCCTCCCGCTGCTGTCCCCAGTGTCCTGGCGGAGCCCGCGCCTACCCTCGCAGACGCTGTCGCCGGCGGCGCCGCTCAGGTGGAATC